TTTTCTTTTTAAATCTAAGATTTGAAAATTTTTAATAATCTATAATATATCCTAGACAGATAAACCGGCTTCGCTCAGAATCGTTTTTTGTATACAATGATATAATATCATTGGATTCAAATTTAATTCCATCCATTACAGGAACCCACTTGTAACCTACTGTACAGCAGAGCGACATACACGACTTACCCGCTTTTTTTTGATTTTAATTCAAGAAGCTTATAAAAATAGATATTTGTGGAGCTGCACTCAATGACTTTTTAGTATAATTCTTGCAAAAAAAAAAAAAAAAAAACATAGTGACTTGACAAATTATACTACGAATTTCATTGAGGAATTTCTATACATAATTTAATTATACATACTTTGCTTTTTTATTTAAATTCCTAAATATTTAATAGTGTAAATATGTAATACAACGTTCTTCTTAGAAATGTTTTTTAATTAATTCAATAATATCTAAAGTATGTAGTTAGAGAGTTAGAATTTCAAGTTAAAATTTTAACATTACCTTTTAGATATTTGAATAACTTTTTTTAATGAGTTTTCTGCTATCCATTTTAGTTTTTTTTTTTTTTATTAGTAATCAAAACAATATTAAACGTAGATATTTGATCCTTTTCGCCATTAGGTACGTACTACGCATGTCATTATTTTCTACGCACAACGACATTAAAAAATATTTAGTCTAACTWTAAGTTATTTAATATTAATAGCATGAATCGATTCAAAATCCTACATTATATACGAGTAAGTTAATAACAATAATATATGATGATAATAATAATAATAACAATATTATAATAACAATAATATAATTTATTTTATTTTGTCAATCCCAACCGAGGGATTACCTTTTAATGGGAATAAAATTATCTGCTATCTATAGTAATAAAATAATTTTTTTATAAAATATCTTTTGAAATAAAAGCTGACAAACTATCTCCTCTCAGAACATTTTTCGTATACCATGATTTATCATTAAATTCAAATTTAATATATAAATTATGGTGACCTACTCAATGCGAGGTTGATACGAAATCTATTATACTGCAGCATATCGAGTTATGTGGTTTTTTGTAAGATTTAGATTTATTTGAACACCATCATTAGCTAGTAGGTACATCTATGCAGGTTATATAGGTATAATAGTCATTGCATGACAGATTTTGAAGGACAATAATTACGATAATCATTATTTTAAAAATTTTGTAAAATATTAACTTTCACAAAAGTATAATTAACTAAAGATTCATAATAATAATTAAATGTAAAAATGTCTATAAAAAACCCCGTTAAATATCTGATGTAAGTACTTAGAAGTCCTCTGATCATTAAGTATAGTCACTGTAATTGATATATTTAATTTAAATTCAACGAAAAATAATCATGCTTATTTCAAATAAAGGAAACCATCAAACTAGACACATTTTTAAGAATATTTAACATATTAAATTGCTGTGTCATCATCACTCATCAGTAATTTCTATCTTCGGTAGGTTGGACTAAATATTACCAAAAAATCACTTATAAAGCAATACCGAAGAATATTTTAGTATGCATTGAAAATGATGATATAAGTACTCAATGGTGAAATGTTCGAATCTTTACTAAAGGCAAATGTTTTATAATTTTTTTTAGTAAAAGAAGCGTGTAAATATTTGAAAAGCAATTTTTCTAATGATTAATATGAACATATTTATGGTATTAAGTTTTTCTTACACAACAATGTATACATTATTATGTATCACTGTACGTTGTGGTTAATATCGTTGTAACAGATATTAAATAATTCAATGATAAATCATTACAGGTGAAAAACGATAACAATATGTCTAAACATTTTAAAAGTTCTATTGCTTATAGAAAATAATAATATATGTTAGTGAAAAAATGTCTTAATTACAGCAAAATAACTAAAATTTTTAATTTACGATTAAATATCAAATTCCATCATTACCTATTCATTACCTAGCTATTAATGCTTATAAAAATTAATGTGGTATTTTCAATTTTGTGAGAACATTTTTTTACACTT